AAGTATTGCCAAATGTAATTTAATATTAATTAAAAGTATTACCTGATTTCTTAAGGAATCATTATCATTGATGCTTGAATATACTGTACAAGCAGTCATTTGATGTTAAAGTTAACTGCATATAATGTTGGGTTGGTATTAATGACAATGTATTGTATTTTATAAAATAATCATGTATTTTGTATTTTTAACCAATAAAGTAACTAATAAATGTAACTGGTAGATAAAGATGTTGGGATAAAAAGAGGAAGCAAACAAAAGTGTGCTTAAGTATGGCAATTACATAAATGTACTCACATTATATTTCTACACTGCTTTTATTAGTTGCTTATTTATTTAGTTGGTGTTTAAAAAAAGTCCTATTTGTCTCAAATACAAATACATTGGGCCTTTCAATAAAGCAACATTCCTGAGCTTGAAAGAGTGGTTTCATCTTTATTTTTATAAATAATATATTTTAAAAGTCTGCTTGCAATAAAATAATGTGGAGGTTTCTGCTTTTCATTCTTGTCTATCTGACTTTAGCCAGATAATCAGACCGGATTTAAACAACACAAAATAAATGATTCAGAGGTCTGGAACAACACTAAAGCAGACATTGCATTTTTGAGATAGTCCGGTGGGGTTTTATGAGCCTATGAGGTAAAGCTATTCAGGAGTGTGTAATCCTTCTGATAACATACAAATCACACAAGGTCAAAACAATCTTGTGTGTGACGACAAAAACATGAGTTATCTTAGCCAAACAACAGGACACTGTTCAATTCACTGCGTGTATTGACACTGTATGGAACCATGTACTGATAAGCTTTACTCAAATAAACTACAACAGAGAAAGTCACTAATCTTTGTGAGGTCAATACAGGTACTTAATGTCTCTCTCCAAAGCTGAATAAAACACACATTGTAAAGAATCTGCCAACAAAAGTGGGCGCTAATAATCATAACACCATAAAACCAATCCCAAACCAGCCTCCTTTTATGTTCCCCACAAACAGGATGGCTGTTGAGGAAGCTCCTTCATTCAGTGCTCTGTTGTCTGCACTGAAAAGCCATTGTTTTTTTACCCTCTATGTTCCCAGTCATCTCATTTGAAAAGCTCCACATGCCACCTGTGAAAAACACTACCTCTCTACACTGGAATTTGGGGTGGGTGTCTGTTGTCTACATGGGATATGTTGTGTGCAGTGTAGCGTTCAGAAACAAGAGATAGAACAAGCTCCGACACGTTTTTCTCTTATGATGGGAAGAAATGTGAGAATGTGGTTAAAAACAGGGAGCATTAGTCATACATTCATCTATGTGTGGCATCGCCCTGATCACTCATCGCTGCCTGCATTGGCACTGACCTCATCAAAGAGCAGTTAACACTGTAGGTACAGGCAGATATTTTAGTAAGAATCCAAAGAAAGGTTTTCTCACCTTTGAAATATAAAACCACCACAAATTACCTTACCCTTTAAAGTCCCATATCAAATAACCAGTCATAAAAAACTATTTAAAATATCTGCCTTTGTTCATTGCTCAGTATTATGTTCTCGTATAACAGGTTGTGTATTCAACTCTATCCCAGGCTGGGGTCACTGTAATCCTCCTCGTCTGGCAGGAGTGGGGGGGGACGAGGCCAAGACTGAAAGTGAAATCTCCTCAGTAAAGACCCGTGTTAAATGTAATGGGTGTTGGCAAAGGGGCCTAATAAAGATGACAGCACACATTCATATGCATTCGTTTGTGTGCTCAGCTTGACGAAGTCTGCCTCACAGGCTTAACAAAGGGGAGGAAGGAAGCCAGGGGCTGTGGGGAATGCCTGGGGGGTGTGGGCGACAACACACACACACACACACACACACACACACACACACACACACACACACACACACACACACACACACTGTGGCCCTACAGCTTGCGTCCTGTGGTCTCTCAAGTCTGAAGTTATAGCAGTGACAGCTGGGGTAGCACGCTCTGCATGGGCTCATTCTCCCCTTAGCAGCTAACCCATTCCCTCCACCCACACACACACACACACACACACACACACACACACACACACACACACACACACACACACACACACACACACACACACACACACACATACACACACACACACACACACACACACACACACACCACACACACACACAGGCTCACACGCACACAGTCTGTGAGACAGACACACATTCAAACAAGCACTCACAGGATGCTCCATCCTGTTTACTGTTTACATTTCACACTGACTAGCCAACTTGGGAGGGCGCTACAATTTGATCACAGGCATTACAGCTGTTTGTAAGGTAGCAGTGTTTGTGTGTGTGTGTGTGTGTGTGTGTGTGTGTGTGTGTGTGTGTGTGTGTGTGTGTGTGGTGTGTGTGTGTGTGTGTGTGTGTGTGTGTGTGTGTGTGTGTGTGTGTGTGTGTGTGTGTGTGTGTGTGTGTGTGTGTGTGTGTGTGTGTGTGTGAAAAGCAGTGTTAAAAAGGCAAGAACATTTTGTTAAGCTGTTAAACTCATTTAGAAACTTAGAAACAGCAGTTACCAAATTATATTTCGATCTTATCACACCATCTTCCTAAACTGGAAAAGTATCTAGCTCTCACTGAAGAACCGCTCTTGAAACAGCAGAAAATAAGTAGCCTCTCTTCTTTGGAGATTCCCCTATTATGTATAATATTAAAATTGAACATTATTTAAGTTTTGGACTGTTTTGACCTGAGCCTTGGACACTGGGAAAATAAGACATTTTTCAAATTTCTTCTGACATTTGATAGACCTACAAATATTTGATTTAGGTAGCAAGTAATTTACATATTGTAAAGATTGTTCTCTTATAAAATTAGATCATCAAGAGCCTACAGATGAAATGTTACCTCTTGGCTAACTCTTACAGAAATGCCTTTTAATGAGCACTGTCCCTGCTAAATTAACGATTCTAAATGTCTAATTTCAGCCGCTCAGTTATCTATATATATGTGTATAAGGGCCATAGCTGCTGAGTCACGGTATGCGCTGTAACGACCACAACTGTTCAGAGGAGGAAAGGGAGGACCAGGGAGGGCGGCTGGCAGTGTGGTCAACAACAATCGGATCATTCTTTGGCCAAAAGGGCACCTGCTTTGTTTGAGGTAGGTCTGGATTCAGAGGGAGACAGCTGGACAATGCAGAGCAAACAGGAACTAATGTTTATCCACTCAAAGTCAGCAGTTTGTACTATTGTGATTTTGTTTTGCAAGAGGCCAGTTTTGCAAAATGACAAGCCAGGGGGCAAGTCAATAAATAATCATCATTAATGTTTGCAGATTAAATGAATGGCCCGTAACCTGCAAATTATTTATTTATAAATGAACTCACCTATAACCTTATTAACTAAATTGACTGGGCACAACAGTTGGAATAAGGTCCATTTTTTACAAATAAATCTGATTGCATTTAAAAGCTGTAAATGCATTTGAGTTGTGCATGCTTTACATTTGAATTACAACATTGAACATATCATAACCTAAACTATGAATGACAAATGCTGTTACAAGGACAGAATAATAATAATTGTAAGCACTTTTAGTGTTTGTGTTGTGCTTATTACACACTTATAGGATCTGAATTACCCACATTTCTGAGTGACTTTAGCTCCCCTCAGCTAATGTATCCCTGTCGTGATCAGTCACTATGCATTGGCCGTTGTTGACATCTCGGAGTACAGCTGTTGTTTGCCAGTTTGCGTTGGTGTTTCAGAGCTGATGGCATTTGATTGATGAGTTTCAAACTGAAAAGTCAACGGCTGAAGTGGCAACAAGCAGCTATAGCACACTGACACCAACAGAGGTCCCTCTTGTGTGGACAAAACCCTGCAGTGCACAGCTGCCCCCCAGTGACAGTGATTTGATACATCATATCAAATACTTGAGTTGAAGTTGGTGAATTATTCAGGAAAAAACACAAGTACATTCATTTAAATGTGCTAAAGGTCATCTGTTATTTTAAGGTATTGTGCAAACAATCGTAGAGATGTGTCATAATATAATACTCTAACCCTTTTAATTTATGATAAAATAAATGTTTATTTTACGGATAAATTGCTATATTGCTTGTCTTAAACAATACTTGTAATTCATGACTGTAGGCCAATAGAATTAAACTGCAGAAAAAGACAGGCACGCACATCCACTACTTCATTTCATTCCTTCAATCCATACGTCTAATTTAACTAAGCTGCTTTACGAGAGCCAAACAAAGCTTTTGGCAAAGTCTGCATGAAAGAATACTTCTAGTATTATTACTACTTTTCATTTCACACTGAATGTATACTGGAGGCCTCGCCCATCCTCATCACCTGCAGTCCTTTCTTGTAATGTAATTATACTTGAACTGCACAAATGTGTTATTATTTTTTGTTGATAGTTAAATCTAAGTCACACATGTAAACTGCTTTATTCCCTCAAGTTGGAATACTAGATATCTAAAAATATCCTATCTATATGGTGCTGGCCCTGACTAATCACAGGTTGGCAGGGGCATGACGTAGGCCTCGTCTGATTGGTCAATCCCTCCATTTTTTTTCACCAAGGGAAGCCAATTTCGGCTGGCCTCCTCTCGCAACAGTGAGTGCAATCTACTGTTTTACCATAACATCTAGAGGGGCGCTGTTTCACTCTTTGTAAAATACTCATTGAGAATGGGGGAGAGATGGGCCGGCAGCAACACACAACAAAGAAGCATTTCCGAAACTAAACGAAGTGTTTTTTATTTATTTATTAAAATTATAACTACAATCCGAAAAAACAGGGCTTCCCTTGGCCTCCAGGAGAAAACGCCACTGCTACTGAATGCATGGTTACAATTAAATAAACTAAGCATGGAACTGGATCAACTGGAACATGCCTTAAGTTCACGGATCAATTTGACTCAGATATACTATTCATATCCTTTAAATTGTATAGATTTGCTATTCGTATACAAAAACACATACGCCTCCATCAGCAGCAGCCTGAGCAGTGCCGGATCACGTGACTGGAGCAGGAAGCGTTTACTGACGGTGCACCGAGTCGTTTATTTATGTCACCACGGGGCAGGTTCGTAATTCAATTAACATTTTAAGTAGTTTGTCTGCTTCCTTTACAATATATGTCTCTCTTCAGTCTTTTAGTCTCTGTCTCCCCATGTATTAGGGATACTAGAGTTGCAGACATAAGGAAAAGGATTGAGGAGCAGTGTGTGTGTGTAACGCTAGCGGAAGTTTGACAGCTAGCAGGTGTCGGTGTGTTGTGTTGTAAAATTATCGACTGCAGTAATTGTAAATATTAACGAGTCTGCTTCACCAAAGGATCTTAATGTGCTCTTCAAACAGAGAGTGTGTGAATAAGTGTATTTACTTACGTTCACGACGAGTGGTTACATTTCTTTAACTTTCATTCATGCAGCTCATTGTGTTGTTAAACCGTTTGTTACAACCCCCTTACGTTCATATCTGTGATGTTTTGTTTCCTGTTTAGCAAGACTACAGTGACATAAAAACACATTTTGCATGAGGAACAGGATTTAGCCATGGATTTAGTGCACGTGTATACATGACGCATTCAGGGAGCGTTTTGACCTGCAGTACATTTGTGTTGTGATTCAGGCTGACTTGCAGCAGTGGCGCACACACACACACACACACACACACACACACACACACACACACACACACACACACACACACACACACACACACACACACTGTGAGGGTCAGGGGAGCAGATACAAACAATGGACATAGGCTACCTGTGGACCATGCTGCTTTACGAGAGCCAAACAAAGCTTTTGGCAAAGTCTGCATGAAAGAATACTTCTAGTATTATTACTACTTTTCATTTTACACTGAATGTATACTGGAGGCCTTGCCCATCCTCATCACCTGCATTTAGTCCTTTCTTGTAATGTAATTATACTTGAACTGCACAAATATGTTATTATTTTTTGTTGATAGTTAAATCTAAGTCACACATGTAAGCTGCTTTATTCCCTCAAGTTGGAATACTAGATATCCAACTGAAAAGAAAATCACTTTTTCTCAATACAAATCTTTTAAAAAACGTTTTAAAACAATACTTAGAATCAAGGTTGTCCCTGCAGGCTGCCTGTCTTGCAGTATCATGGTGGAGATCTCCACATAAAGTTGCTATCGGTATCATTCGTACACAATTCTTAATGACCTGAGACAGTAATCTAGTTATTCAGTGTTATACATTTACAATTTGACATGCTGTTTTTCACGTGCTACGTTTAACAAATGTTGAATTCAGAGTTTAAACTTGATCTCCTCTCGATTTGCATGGAAGTAGATTTGACCACAGTGCTGACAGTTAAATTGACTTCCAAATGAAGCTCTTCCAGTCTTCACTTGGTGAAATAAAGCACTCTTTGTATGCTTTTATCAATTCCAAGCTATTCACAAGGATTGTACAAACCAGGTTCCAAATTCTCATGATAATAATAATTACACTGTCATAAGTTAGCATTTCGTTGGAACTGAAGGCTAATTGCAGGATTAAAAAGGAGGACAGCTGAATAAGTTCACCAGTTTCTTATTATAGCGAGTGGATAGTTGAAACATCCCTGGCGGAAGACTTATTTAACTTACTGTCGACCTCATGGCTGTGACAAATGTGTAGCCAAAGATCCAAATAGGATACGGCCATATCCCTTCAGCGATTCTTCAGTGAACAATGAACAAAACGGCTCAGTCATAAAATAAGTTTTGGTAGCTCTGATTGCCAAAATAAATCCTTTAAGAGACTTCCTCAAAATGTCACTAGAATAAAAGTCATTGAATATGTGCTGCGTGATGATGTCTTCAGGAGGAGATGCCCTTTTTTAAGCTACTTTTCATAGCAAGTTTGATGGATATGGTAATGATTTTGGAGTGTGTAGGTTGTGAGGGGTAAGATTTTCTATGCAGACAGAAAATAAAAGAAGCTTGTGACTGAAGAGAAGTCATGTGTTGGAATTAACCAGATCAATTCTCAACTGGAATAAAATAAAAAGCTGAATGAAGACAGTGTCTTTTCAGATGATATGCAGCTTCATTGATTCCTGCGGGCAAATAAGCATAAAAATGACCTTGAAGCTAATAAGAAAAAGATAAGATTACAAGTTGCATGTAGTTTGAAAATAGTTTGTGTTTGACAAAAAGCCTAAATATAATGTTCCTGCTGACTTGTGTATCGTCAATCTTTATTTACCGTGGGATATTTGTTAATGGTTTAAGGAAGAGTAAATAGTGTGTCTCTCGCAAAGTAAATCAGACCTGATATTCAGCTGCTAGCACTGGCACTGTGTAAATAAGATTGAAGCACGCAGGGATTCCAGATGTTGCCCTTTATCATTAAATGAACTTCATACCGTGACGTGTACAGTTTTCAGTCTCTCGAGTGGATAACATGTTCTCAGTCATTACTCAGGTTTATAATATCTACTGTAGGCCTTTAACTATATATCCATAATACCACTGCATGTTTACCAGTGGCTACATGAGGCTTTTACAGATGTTTTTCATATAGCAAATGTCAGTGATAAAGAGGGATTATCTACATGGAGACATTGATTATTTCAAATGTTTGTCCCATTTACACCCCCATTTGGTTCCTTCAAGATATGTTCCCTCTGACTCTTAATAGTGTTTTGGATATCAACAGTATTACAGTCTCCAGATTTGAAATGAATTGAAAATGATATGGAAGCCAAGGAAAAAATGTAGATGAAAATCCATAGTTAAAGAAATACAATTATATATTGTGTGACTTTACCATTTCATTTATTTGTTTCTGATGAGATTTTATTTTTCTTCAATTAAAGAAGAACAACACTTTTAAGATGTGGGATTTTACCATAGACTGTATATATATATTATATTATATTATATTATTATATTATACTGTGTATATATATTTTACACATGAAAATCTCTTAACGTCTCAAGCCTGGTGCTTTTTTCAGTTAAGGCCAAGAACATCATTTGTGCTAATGCATTAAGATGTTTGCTATTTATCTATGGCCAGACAGGGTGTTCAAATAATTCAGGCTGCAAATCTTTGAAACTGTTGTGACCCTGATACCTAACTAAGAATTAACACCAGGTTAGGTTAGGTTAAACCTTGAAATCGCTTTAAAACTGGCCTCTCTGTTGTTGTTTCTTGTCAATAGCAGAATTTAAATTGTTCTTGTCAAAGTCGCTCAAAAGTTCTTACATATATTTGTATATTTTTCTTCTTCAAGGTCTGACAGCACACAGGTGTAGGGTTTTCATTTACAGACCTAAAGTACTACAGGTATAACAGTTTGTTTGATTCACAGCATCACTGATGTTAAATATGAACCAAGTGATGGTCAGGTGTTTTTCAGTGCAGCACAGGATTAAGGCTTGTCGGTGTTTAACTCTGTCTTTTGTCTTATGAAAACTGTCTGTGTGTGCAGTTGATTTCTCACTGACTGTGTCGTTGTGAACTGACCATGATAACATTGTGTTGATAGGCAAAAGCACACATGGTCATGGAGGCAGTCCATTGTCCTCGCTGCACGGTCCTTACAGCTCTGAGTGTGTTCGGTGCTTTGTTCATCACCCTATCTGACCTGGTTAACCTATTATCTGATGGAAGCGTTTTGCAGATTTTCCTAACCCTAACCCTAACCCTATTTGTTTAGATTGTTGCAAAATAAGTTAGTTGGAATTTCCCATCACTCTATCAACAGTGGGACATTTGTACGGGAAGCTCAATGGCCCTGGGCAAAGTGCAAAGTCTACCCTTCACCAGTACCCACTGATGATTACGCTCGTAACGACATTACTGCACCACATCGCCCGCTCTCAGGAGACTTTCAAACGGCTGCAGAAGGAGACATTGCCGAGGGATTTATTGTTTATCTATATTGTCTTTGGAGATTTGTGTAAGTTTAAGTGTATTTAAAGGTTATATAGACTATTGCTTTACATAGTGGTCACATTATTTATCTGCATTGGCTTTTGTTCCGTGACTTTCAAGTTTTGTATACATTCATGGATTTTTGACACTCTCTACATGTATGCATTGTTAAAAATGTCACTTGGATTTTATTTTCCAGTTGTTGTTTTTTTGCTATGTGGCTCATAAGACAGGCTTTCTACTAAATAATTGCATTTAGTTGTTGTGACAGGATAGCTTTCATGTTTATTTTTGCTTTTTATCACAAAAATAGAGCTAAAAAACGTATTTATTATGTAGGAGTAGTTTAATAAAGATTGATAGCAAACGATTTTGGTAATGGGTTGTTTTACTTGCATATGTACGGTTGTAACCTTTTAATTTGTGATGATATTAACATTTTCGAGTTTTGCGCTGTTTGTACAATACATAACTTTGTGCTCTGGCTAATTATTATAGGAAGTTATAGTTTCTCTAATTTCACTTTAGTTGGCGGTTTCGGTCTTAGTGGACTCAGATCTCTTTAGTCGATAAATCATTCTGTTTCTCTGGTAAACACATACGATTTACAGTGATGCTCTGATGATTTAGTAATCTAATCGATTGTCAAGGAAATCATGAATGTTCTACTAATAATGTCTTTGGTCAAGGACAGTAATACAAGTAATCAAGACAAGTATTTGCATATTAATCGTTCATTTAAAAACAGCATATTTAATGCTTGGTTTTGATTAAGCTTTGATATGATGTCTTATTGGCTTACGGCTGCAAGATGCCTTGATGTGATGACTCTGATTTCTGTGTTCATACAGGAGTTTGGACGGTTAGGACCACAGCATGTTTGTGGCTGTGCTCCTGCTCCTGGTCACTCTGAGTGTCCAGGGAGGAAATGGCGAGGAGAAAGCAGAGGCACAGAGACCCGGCCATGTTTCCGTGGTGATCGTAGGCGCCACAGGGGACCTGGCGAAGAAGTACCTGTGGCAGGGCTTCTTCGAGCAGTACGTTAACCAAGTCAGTGGTGGAAACACTTTCTCCTTCTACGGCGGGGGACTGTCACCTGCCAGCACCGCCACACCGGTCTTCTTTGAGATCGTCCAGGCCGTGTCCTGCTCAAAGGAAACATCCCCCAATCGCTGTGCCGTGCTGAAGGAGCAGTTCCTGCGGCTCGCTGAGTATCGGCAGCTGAAGACCTTAGAGGACTACCAGGAACTGGCAAAGAACATTGAGAAAGAGCTTCAACAGGAGGGAATACCGGAGGCAGGCCGGCTCTTCTACCTCTCTGTACCTGCCTTTGCATATGCGGATATTGCTGATAAGATAAATAACAGCTGCAGGCCGGCCAGCGGGGCGTGGTTGAGGGTGGTGCTGGAGAAACCTTTCGGGCATGACTTCAGGAGCGCTCAGCTTCTTGCATCTCAGCTCGGGAGCTCCCTGAAGGATGAAGAAATGTTTAGAATCGACCATTACCTGGGGAAGCAGGTAGGAAAACCCTCTACATATGTGTGTGTGCCTTAACCCATGACCCTGTAATTCAGCTGTTTTTGATTTCATGGTTTCTATTTTTCTGCTTTTGTTCAAAGGTGGTTGCAAAAATTCTTCCATTCAGAGTGGAGAACAAGAAGTATCTGGATCCCATCTGGAACAAGCACCACATCGAGAGAGTTGAGATTGTTTTGAAAGAGACCCTCGATGTTAAAGGTGATTAATAATTGCCTGAGTTCTTGTTACATTCAATTATGTAATAAAATGGATGCCTTCATTAGTTAAAAAATGAACATGTTAACAACAATGTTTATTTTATGCATTCATGTATAATATAGACTCAACATTCTCTTAAAACTGTTTCCCAGAAGAGAAGGTTTTAAGAGAAATGTCCAATATCTTGGGCATTTCTCTCAACACAAATCCCATTATCCCTATTACTGGGGAAAACAACAGAGAAAATAAAAAGATTCCTATCTATTTCTGGTAATTAGAATAGCGATCATCAAACAAATTACAAGGTATTGGCTAAAAGATAATCACTCAGTAAACTCACAATGGAATAACTTAGTAAATTAAATCTATGTAACGGAGAAAACAACTATGATAATTAGAAACCAAATGCATATCAAATATGGGTCAAGTATAGAACAATATAATTAATGTATACCTGAGTATTAACAATGTTTCTATTCTTTTATTTGTAATATTATTATTTATTTTCGTATTTGTCATCTGTTATGTAGTTAATCTATGTACCTAGATGTGTTTATTTTGTTATGTATGCTTTGTGAATATTTTCTTAAAATGCAAATTAAAAAATGAATAGACCCAAAATTCATTTTGAAAGAAGCAATTAGTAGATGATCTGCCATTGGTCAAAACCGCATCCAGTGTCACTATTTCATAGCCTTCCTAAAAATACATGTACTGATGGAGACATTAATTTTGGTTCGTTATTGAAAATCTATCTATTGAAAAAAGTATTATAACAATTTTTTGTGAAACTCCAGCATTTTGTAATTTATTTAATAAACCTTGCATTTGCATTCAAACTGTTTGATACAAGCTGTGAGGGTTAATACATACCAGTGTAAAAAGTAGTACTATTTGTTGAGTTATTACATGATGTGTTGTTGCAATAATGTTCTAAGTACTTTGACATAATTGAGGGTAATGTCCTCTGGTTTGTTTTTATCTAAAGGTCGTATTCCCTTCTATGACCAGTACGGGGTGATCAGAGACGTGATGCAGAACCACCTGACTGAGGTCATGACCCTGTTGACCATGAAGCTTCCTGTGAATATGAGCAGCACGGAGGAGGTGCTGCAAAACAAGCTGCAGATCTTCAGTAATCTGCTGCCGATAGGCAAGAACCAAGCTGTGACCGGCCAGTACAAAGCGTACAAAACATCAGTGCAGCAGGAGATGAATAAGACCAACGATCACGTCAGCCTCACTCCAACATTTGCAGGTGACAGATTTTCTTTTTCATCATTATGAAGTACCGTACTTAAGTACAATTTTGAGGTACTTGTACTTTAAATGAGTATTTCCATTTTATGCTACTTTGTACTTCTACCCTACTACAATTCAGAGGTAAATTCTGTAATTTTACTTAACTACATTTATTTTATATCTTTAGTTACTTTGCAGATTAATGATGTGAAATATAATCAAGTCTTAAAGGTGGGGTAGGTAAGTTTCAGAAACCGGCTCGAGTGCACTAAAATTTGAAAGTACACAGCCGAAAAGAATCCGCCCCTTCCTTCAGACTTCCTTACAGAGCACCTCCTCCAACACACATGAACGCACACATGGACGCGCAATGCACGCCCAATGACGGCACGCCCAATGAGGGCACGAGATACATTTGTGCGTGCACGAGATGGAAGGCTGACAGACAGGGCGGCAATCCAATCCGTTTTGCCGGCCCGGCTAAACGGATTGGTTGTACTTTTTACAGTATTACGGCTTCCACAGATGACATTTTTTTTATGGGTTTTTTTGTCAAAGCACTTAAGATATTCATTGCTATCGGGATGTTAAGAGCATTCCATGGAATATAACAAAAAGTGTATCACGAGCCGGTTTCTGAAATGTACCTACCCCACCTTTAAATCAGGCTTTAGTTCCACCTTGAGTAAATTCACAAGCTACCCTGCAGTATACAAAGTCATTAGAACTAGCTGCACCTTTACCAGCTTTGAGAACACTTTAATGCATTAATAATTATAATCAAAACATATTATATATATTATTCTGAAATGGGTCAATCAGCATAATGAGTACTTTTACTTTTTGTACTTTTTTTTTTTAACTTGTAACAGAGTATTCCTACACGCCTGGTACTTCTACTTTTGCTTAAGTACACGTTCTGAGTACTTCTCCCACCTCTGGCTGTTTGTATTGAAAGACTTAACACATTTATTTCTGCTACTAAGTGACTATATTTGTGTCTTTCAGCTGTGTTGGCACACATCGATGAGGCTCAGTATGAAGGTGTGCCAATTATTTTGATCTCAGGGAAGATGTTAGATGAGCGAGTGGGATACGCACGCATACTTTTCAAGAACACCGTCTTTTGTCTTCAAAACCACAACAGCGTTCACTGCAAGCCCAAACAGATAGTTTTCCACTTTGGTCACGGCCAACTTAAATATCCAGCCATTCTTGTGAGTAAGAATTTATTCAAGCCCGTTTTAAAGGAAGGTCAGTGGAAGGAAGTGACTGAGCATACAGATGTCGATGTTCTAGGTTTACCTATTTCAGACTATTATGTGCAGACCCCATCAGAGAATCGAGAAGCTTATTCAGAACTTATTTCTCAAATTTTTGCCGGACGTAAGAACAGTTTCATTAGTGCTGAAAACCTGCTTGCCTCCTGGGGCTTATGGACGCCGCTGCTCACCAGTCTAGCAGGCTCTTTCCCCCGCATCTACCCCGGGGGGACCGACAACGGAGACATGCTGGACTTGCGTGTGAAAGGGAAAGACATTAGCTACAGCAGTGAGGTGGTGATAATCAGTGCTGATCAGATGAGCGGCACGTCAGCAAAAGATTTCCAAGTGATGCAAGGCAAGTTCCGCAGTGCTGCCATGGTGTCGGCCTGGTCCGAGGAGCTGGTGGAGAGGCTGGCCGCAGACATCCAGGCATCAGCGGAGGCAGCGGTGCGTGAAGGCGGCGTTTTCCATCTCGCCCTCTCCGGTGGCTCCTCTCCTCTCGCTCTGTTCCACAGGCTGGCCCTGCACCACTTCTCCTTCCCCTGGAGGGACACCCATGTGTGGATGGTGGACGAGCGCTGCGTACCTCCCACTGAACTGGAGTCCAACTTCCACAGCCTGCATGACCATCTGCTGCAGCATGTGAGGATCCCTTATTTCAACATCCACCCCATGCCAGTGCAGCTCAACCAGCGCCTGTGTGTGGAGGAGGACGCAGGAGCGCTGCTGTACGAGAAAGAGGTCAGAAAGTTAGTCAATGGCTCCAGCTTCCACTTTGTGCTGCTGGGGGTGGGCTACGACGGCCACACTGCCTCTCTGTTCCCGGACAGTAAGGTGTCTGAGCTCGGGGACCGTCTGGTGGCCCTCACTGAGAGCCCCGTCAAGCCTCACCAGCGCATGAGCCTCACTTTCAGCGCCATTAACCCGGCGCGCACGGTGGCTCTGTTGGTGATGGGCAAAGGCAAGCACGAGCTGATCACCCAGCTGAGCAGGATGAAGGACAACCCCGACAAGTGGCCCGTCACTGGGGTGAAGCCTGACGATGGAAAACTGGTCTGGTATATTGACTATGATGCACTTTTAGGATAGGAATCACATTCCTACCTTTCAATCGGAATAAAAATGATTGAGCTGCTTAAATTGGACTGCTGATTGGTGAAAGCAAATATGAGCCAGCACACATGTTTTAACTCATTAACCAGAAATAATCGCATGTACTTGATGGTTACACTTTCTATGATGTCTATTCCATTTTTTTTTTTTTTTTTATATACCTATAATTCCTTATTGGCTTAATGCACTGCATACTCATAGTTATTAGCACCAATAAATAGATATAATGCTTTATAAAAAATTATTAAAACACATACTTTATTATTGCTTTAGACTCAATGACATGTTTGTTTAGCAAGGATCATAGTGTACTATAGTTCCTATTGTTGTAATACATTATAATAGTTTTGTTAGGCTATATAATGTATTATAATCATAAACTTAGACGGTATAATCATCAGCAAAACATTATAATTATGTTTTATAATATTATTTTTATCAACATGGATGTGCCAAAAGATGTCAGTAATGGAACAGCAATTATAATTGCTGAATAGAGCCTTATAAATACGTGGTAGTGCTTATGTGAGTTATAATGTGCTATAAGCAGATTATAAAGCATTAATAATCAAGCAAGAATGTTTATAATTAATATGCACATCATAGAAGGTTGTACTGTAACATCACTGCTGTGTTTTTCAATAATGTCATCAGGTTTCTGGCAGGAATATTGAGTATATGCAATATGTGGTTAATGTGTTCAAATCTACTGGTACTTTCTTTTTTATTTAAAGTTTGAACCTCATTCAAATACTTGTGTGTGTTGGGATGAAATGTATACTTTTTTTTATGGTTTATCTAATTTTGTGTGAGGTGAGTGAAAATCTAGCAAATACATGTAGTACATGTCTGCAGTCGAGTGCAGGCTATATAGCACTATAAGAATATCTGACCAACAATAATTGGGTGCCAAAAGTCATTCTAACTAGAAGAAAGATGTATTAACTAATAATCCAGGTGGTTTCTATGATCTCAGGTGATTCTGTGAATGTGCAGACAAGCTGTTCACTGTGTAATCTACATGTATCAATTGTGTGTTTTCTATTGTAGCTGGCAGTGACCCACTTGAAATGCCATCAGAGTTAAAAAAAAAAAATTTAAATGTGAAAATATGTCGATGTTTATACTGGAAATAACAACATTTGTTATTGAAATGTTTCAGGTAATTCAAGATATTTTGTGCTTCACTAATAAAAAAACAATCCCATTCCTGTTGCATTCACATTCCACTCTCAATTCATATCGTTTCCTAATTGTTCGGAAAAATAAGGTGAGAGATATAAGCTGAATACAATTTCCTATAGTCTGTTCATATTGCTTTTCTCTTCCTATGAAATAGACATCATGTTTGGTACTACAGAGTTCACATATGTGTTTGTATATAATTAAACACATATTGTGTAAACTACACCTTTATTAACTTGACTGACTGTGAAACAAGTGTTCCTCAACAAATAAAAAGCAAATCGTTTTTACAGTTAAGACAAACACCTGCTTTGTGATGTTCTTTCTGAAGTGAGCGATAAAACGTGAGGGGGATTAAGTCACTTTCCCATGGTTTAAAGTTACCAGCTGCCGGTGGCATAGAGACCACATGAAATCTTAATATGTGGAGTTTCAGATGTCAACGTGGGACAGCTGGACCGCTTTACTGCTCATTGTTTCTGCTCGGTTCCGTCACATGCTTCCTGTTAGTCAACCAGAGGCCTCCTCTCACCATGAAAAAACCTGAACAGACACAAGCAGTTGTTATTTCCTTTGAGCAGAAAACAGTGTATGTATGCATAGTCCCACGATTTATAGTAAAAACACTTTACCTGTACTGAAAATAGAAGCAATAGTTAGGATAAGGGACATGTAGTACAGCTCCGGGGTGGTTTTAGCCTGTGAATGTAAATATGTATACATAACTTTGATGCTGTAGTTTCTCTGCAGAATTTAATGATGATATTCAGTCTGTTTCTTACACACGCTGCTGCTGTCAGAGTCAGGATGACGGTGCAGAGACCTTGTCCACATGTCAGAATCCCAAACACGTGATAGGAGGCCCAAAGGCTCTGAGGAACTGAGTCTATCAGTGTGAACACCACGGAAAAACCTATGGAAGGAGTTCAAGTCAGCTCTGTATCCTCCTTTTTTGCTTGTATGTTACACACAGTGCATGGTGGAGTGCACTGTGCCAAAGTGCATTTACCCCAGTACTTGACTCAAGTAAACATTTTCAGTGCACTTTAATCTTCTACTCTACTACATCTCAGAGGCAATTTATTTGACTTTTTAGTCCTTTACGTCTGTCCTTTACGTCTGTCAGCATTGGTTATTTCTCATTACAATTTTTTATAATTTTCTGTCCAGTGAAAACTATATCTCGTAATGTGTGGATATTTTAATTTGAATGTTTCTGATAAACTGATGAATTAGGTGTTTTTCTGAGCAACAACAATTCCAATTAGCATAACCTTTAACATTTACAGCAGTAAAATACAACATTCTGCAGTAAATCCAAAATGTCTCTGATGGGACATATTTGTCCAGAAATATAATTTGTTGATACATTAAGTACATTTAACTGTACTCAAACTTACTTTTATTTAAGGCAGATCTTGAATGCAGGTCTCTCTCTTGTTGTGGTATATTCCTACAGCCTGGTATAAGAACTGCTAAGTAAAGAGTCTGAATACTTCTTCCACCACATGGTGAACATCTCAGAGATGTGTCTGATGTGCATGGGTTCACCTGTAGCGATGAAGGACAAGGCGATGGAGGCTGACAGGTTGCTCAGAAGTGGCTGCCTGCAGTATCTGGAGGATTTTGGACTTTCAACAAAACAGGTACGATTAATGCAACATTTCCTTCCAAATGACTCATGGTGCCATAACCTGTGACCTATAGTTACCTTGCCATGACGTAGAACTGAGGGACCAGGACAAGAGCTGCAAACACTGCATTCACTATCTGACTATAAATGGAATAAAACATCAGTAGTAAAACACCCTGCGTTTGAATAAATGTACATCACATTTTTTTCTATCAGATCAAAACAGAAACATGACTCATGGAAACAGCACTTACAATTTTAGCCTCTGATTCCTTGGTATCCACCGGCTGCTATGATACGCCATGAAGATTAGCATGTAGAGAAACATGGAGGATACACACTCCAGCAGACTTTACTGTAACACTACTCCTGGATGGATCTGCAAATGTGAGCAGGAGGAAGGCTTGTGTTTCACGCTGCACATGTACAGAAACCTCTGCTGCATGATAGAAGAGCAACTAATGATACCTTCATCAATAATTCATGTGTTGTTTCTTTTTTAGATGAATGGATTCATTGTTTGGTTTATAATATTTCAGAAATTGGTACAAAATGTCCAAAAGTGATGTCTTGTTTTGTCAGTCCCCAAAACAAAACATACTCAGTTTAATGTAAAAAAACAACAAATGAAATCTCCATATTTGAGATGCTGAAAACAGCCATGTTTTACTCATGAAAAATAACTTACTAATGATAACTTGATTATCAAAATGGTTGCCAATTATCTATCTGTCCTTTGACCAATCCATTCGACGTATCGTTGCAGCTCTACTTCATATTGTTTACGCTTAACATTTTTATTTATTTATTTTAAACTTTTTATTTTATTTTTTTATCAACCAACAGCCAGACAGACAACACAATAGCAGTTGGCAAACAAGTTAGGATGACAACAGTGTGATTTGAGTCCGACAGGATAAAAACAGAGACAAAACAAAAAATAAATGAATAAAACAAAACAAAAAATGGACTGCGACAGGACAAAAACAAAGTCAGATTCTAAAGGCTCTGAGTCTAAGTCCATTATTAATACCATAATGCAGTTTAGAGATCAAATAATGTGTATAAATGGAACAAAAAGACAAAGTATATCAAAGACGCTTAACATTAAAGCTTTAATGTAAGGTTGTTGTTTTTAAGGACAAAGCATGCTTTGGGACCATCTGGAATATTAAAGATGCACTATAATAAGAAGTAAGAATGACGCCCTGCTGTGAGGCTTTTGTACTAACAGGAAGAGGATTGTTTTCCTCACATTATGGGTAAAAGGTCCTGCTCCGGCCTCCAGTGCTCCTCCTTTGTATTTGTCCAAAATAGCTGCAGTTTACAACATATCACCCCTGCCCCATATTGACACACAATGAATAATCAACCCTTACACTATAAAGCTGTTCACTTCAGATGCTTGGGCAGATGAGTCTCCCAGAGTCCAACAAACCTCCAAAGATGCCTGTCGACTACAGCGGGACGTGGGACGTTGTCAGCAACGTCAACTCTGAAGCATACATGGTCGCACTTGGTAAGTGAATGCCAAAAGAAACAAACTCTGCATTTAATTAATATTGTATTGTGATATGAGAGAACCCTCATGTATAATTGACTGTGTAGTTTATCCCTTGTCATTGAAACTTGTTCTCAATTAGATGAAAAACACTTTATCCATCCTCGGTGTGCGTTCCTTTTTATACACAGCTGATTTGTCAGGGGGGAAAAAAGGAAAAACTTTGATTTGCTATTCCGCAAAATTTAAAATAAATAAACGATGACATGTTATGTGCATCCACACATAGAGGGGACTTTCAAAAAATGTTGGTAAATTCACAATTACATCAGTACTTTTACATGGCATTTTGCAGTTATATTTTCCATTGAGTATTTTCACTATCCTGTCTCTCCATGGATTTTTTTGTGGCACTGGTTTGATCCAAGATAAAATCATGTTTGCGACATGTAAAAACTAAATCTGATAAGAGCATGGGGCACGTGGTAGCAGGGTGTATTTCAACAAACTCCTCTCATTTTGACATGCAGGCATTGATTTTGCAACACGCAAGATTGCCTCGATGTTGAAGCCCCAGAAAGTGATTAAGCAAGACGGAGATTGCTTCATAATCCGGACATTCACCACTTTCAGAAATTATGAGACTTCATTCAAAATTGGTGAAGAGGTCAAAGAGGTGACAAAAGGGTTGGACAACAGGACAGTTCAGGTAAAGACGTCGAACACATTGAGATGATTATGTGCATGCATAGACTATACATGTATTAAAGCAACACCACCCTAATGTATTTTGCTGTGCTTGTATATCTTTTTTGTTTTCTCTATCAGTCGGTGGTGAACTGGAAGAATGATAAGCTGGTGTGTGTGCAGAAAGGAGAAAAGAAGAACCGAGGGTGGACTCACTGGATTCAGGGGGACGAGCTTCACCTGGTATGACTATTTTATTCGGGTGGCCCCTTACTGCCAGTTACTGTCTTTTATCAAAATGTTCTCGCATGAAATGCAGATTTATATGAATTGGTGGACTCTCTTTTTACCCTTAACACATCTGAACACTGTTATGCAGCTTAGCAAAGTTAACATATTCCAAAAAGGGTTTTGAGCTTCTTATTTCACATCATAAACATTATTGTTTACTCAAAATATAATAACGAAAGGTAGAGCAAAAAGCTAAAGTATAACAAATGGAAGATACTGACAATACTAAAAACTTGGCCTGAATTATAGTTATTATCTGTCTTTTATTTTCTGCTATCATGTGAAGTATTTCAATTGATCTGTTTTTGTGTTACAAATCAACACAGTACTTGACATGTATGAATGCTAATTATGCTCAACTTACAAATGATGGAAATGTTAACAGCTTCATGTTTTCTCTTCCTAGGAAATTACTTGTGAGGATCAAGTCTGCAAGCAAATCTATAAACGGACTCTGTGACTGTGTCTTCAAAAGTATCAGACTTCCTAGAACTCCATTTGTGTTTCCATGAAATGAAAAAGCAGCATTTTCTACACACTCTTTCAATAAAGAGCATGGCATTTGAAAATAGTGTGTGTCAGTGTGTGATACATTTGTGCCCACAGAATAGGAGTATGATGAGGAAATAATTGGTTCTTACAAGTTTAAAGTCTTACAAATGATCACGGACATACTTTGGGCAAGAATCTAACAGTACAACGTTGTCATTTTTAGGTTCAAACTTGTATCAATAGTCATCAGGACTTTAAGAAAAAAGAGGATAAATGGCTTCCATACAACTATTTGTGTACACTGCAAATGTGTGTGTTTGATATTGACCTTAATTGCACTTTTTGAAATAAAGCCATTTTCTTACCATTCTACATCAGTGGTCCCTTTATTAGGTACATATGTACAATCTAATACAGTCCGATAAAACTGTTCTGATATAAAGTTCAATTTGTTATGATGGTGTTTCTAACATTCTGAATTATTCAAATTGTAAATAGTTTGTAGGTAATAAAATAAGGAAAACTTCTCTATGCAATAGTCAAGAACACCACTGCAAACTACCTCTGTGTGTAGTATATAATTAAATTGAAGTATTCTTAACATTGTCTACAAAAATGTAACATTTGTCAAGGTAGAATTTATGACAGAGCTGCTGCACCATAAGAGTGTTTTCCACTGGGAAAATGGGATTACTATTATTTTATAATTAAGTATATAGAAAAAACAGCATGTGCCCGAAGGCTAAATATAGTATGACACTTCTTTAATTTCATGAAGGGAAAGTTGTGGGTATAAATCACGGAAGCATTATATTATTATACAAATGCCTCGCCGTTGCAGTTCTTCCTCCGGACCACACGGGGTAGTGGTGGTGGGGTAGTGGGGTGGTGTACATTAAACACCGAGTTAAACTCAGGAGTTGTTGGTTTTCTGTTGAATTTTTACCGGGAGTTTTTTGTTTATTTCAGCTCATGTGCCAAACAACACTGTGTTTAAGTCGTGTTTCTGTCTGACACACCTTAGTTTTGTAGGATTTTCTTACTCGGTCACTTACTTGAAACAGCTGTGGTCGAAAGTTTCTTCGTAAGAAAATGTCTGATGATAAAGATGAGACTCAGCAGGTGAGAAAGTGATTTTGATGTGTGTGTTTGGCTAATATTAACGTTAGTGTGTGTATTTCACATAGTTTATCCTCTAATGACACATTAACGAGAGTTTCAATGTGTGTTACTCTAGTTCTAATAAATAAATCACATTATACCTACTACCGCGGTGATGTTAGTATTCTAGGGTGGATTTTTCACAAAAAATAAATACGGTTTTCATCCTGAGTTTTCTGCTGTCAGAAGACAGTTAGCTCACATCCGAGACCTCGCTATTAATAACAGGGTTACATTTAGGGACCGTCAATACATTACAATTCTGCCTTGATTTGGAGTCATAACGTAAAATGGCATGGACCCTATAAAACAAATCCAAGAGACTTCAATAACATTTGTTTTCTTCCAATAATTATTCACATTATTATTCACAAGCGGCACTAGAATCGAATTTTTAAAAATAATTAAATGTTTCTTTTCTAGCAATATAAAGCTGGAGTCACTGGGTCACATGATAATAGAACCAATTATTCTGAGTGATACTTTTTAGTAAAAAAAAACTATTTGATTATCATTACAATGTTCTTGTAAAATATAATAAATTTCACTAACATCCAATAAAAAGAGGTGTCTCCTAATGCTTCGTAGATTGTATTGGTTCTTATTACATGGCAGCTGTTGAAAAAGATCCAAAGGACAGAGTTGTATTGAATACTGATGTGATCATTTCAGTTTTTCGCACTAGATTGCATATCATGTCATTTGGTGATTCCAACTTAATGCAATTTTAATGCAGATTGAATTACTATACTGGGCGAATAAAACATTTGAATTGGATTTTGTTTTTTCAATTTGGCAGAGAAAGTTTTTACTATTTAAACTGCATTTGAAACATCCATCTGTCTTTTGTTTGTTTGTAAAATGAACTATGAAGACAATCTCTCATAGTGTTATGATACGTTTGTATTTTATATAATACGAAGAATACAGGGAGGACCCTTCCGGCCACCATTATACTACCACACATAAAACATCCGAGTTGGTATTTTGAATTTCAGAGGTTAAAGGCAGCAATCCATTTCACCGTTGGTCGCCTGTGCCAGATGACGGGAGAGGACCACCGGAGAGGGTTCAGCCGACAAACTGTAGCAGCGATAGCCGAGACAGCGTTCAGACAATGCGGTGGGTGTCATAAAGCTGGCGTTAATCCAGTTTAAACGTTTTGCATCCTTTTTTATTAACGACATACTATACTTTGACATATCTTTTTTTAATGAGATACTATACTAAGACATGCATTGGATTGTTACAACAAGTTAATGACTATTTTACTGCGTATGTTATGACATACACTCGGAATCATAAACTATGATTTTCTTTCATTAAATATTTTTTATTAAGTATTTACTATGGCATTTGTATTGCATCTTTTAAATGTTGCACATTTTAAATGTTCTAAAAAAAAATCGAATCGGTGAATATCAAGGTTTGTACAGTTTACCAATTTTGCTTGTTGTCTTTCCATCAATGTATCACACCATTACTGACATGTGTCCACCTGAGGAGTTTGGTGCAGTAGGCCTTTTATGTTGTTTATTTTTTGCAAAGTAATTCCTAAATGCACACACGTATTAATTAAAGTCCAGTGATGTAGAACACAAAGCCTGTTTATGCACATAGGATAGCTGTCATTCTTATTGTAGATATACAGGAGATGGATTAGTGCCACACAACCCTGTCATCCACATTTAGCCACAGTTTACTGTCCACTTCACACTTTGTTAGCTCCAATAAAGGAAGGTCTTTGTGTGGCTGACCTTTCCAGCCACACACTTGTTTTTGTAAGGTGTCCAGAATATTTTCAGAAAACATTCCACTTGTTCCAGAGGTTTTCATTTTCTACACACACAGTATATACATGTTAAATTGAAAAGCATAACCTCCTGTATAGGTTTTAGGCCAAATTCCGGAATTGGCTGTTTTGCTAGTAATTGAGTTTGACTAAAATAATTTAGATACATTTTTCTCATATAAAAAAACAAAACATATTCAGATTAGGAGACTGCTGTTGTTTACAAGTACTGATTCGTTTCAACAATAGACACATGTATGTGAAAGAGGTTAACAAACCATTTCTACAAGTTTGAACCATAATGCTGTTTTCAATAAGTCAGTCTAAACTTTACATCCCCTCACTTTTTACAGATGTATTTGCTAAAGACTTAGAGGCCTTTGCAAGGTGAGAAATATTTGTATCTTACCACAAATCAATGGGTTATCTGCCTACTGAACTTTATTTTAAAAAAAAAGCTTTTACATAAAACCTCCAATTTACATCATTACTTTCAGACATGCTAAAAGAAGCACAGTGAATTCAGAAGATGTGAAGCTCATAGCCCGTCGCAGTACAGCATTGGTGAGTTATTTCCACTGGGGAATCCTACAGAACCTGGTCATGTATTGTTATGTCTAGTTACCTTAAAGCAAGTACATATCAACACAATTAAACATAATGCATTATACTCGACCTATGTAGGGGTATGTTCATATTTTACAGCACACAAACATTGTTTTAAATTTGCTTTTATTTATTTCAGTCCATCCACATACAAAGGAAAACTGAAGAACTGAACCAGGAAAAGAAGAGTACTGGGAAGAGGAAAAGCAGAGACACTGAGGAGGAGAGCAAAGAATAAGGAAAGGACACAGGCAGCCCTGCAGTGTCTCACTTCTGCCCAACATTCAAAATAAACTTGAAGGCTATTAGCAATCATTTAAGTGTCAAGGCTGTCATTTAATGTTATGGGGACTCTACACTTAAGGCATTTTATAAATAACTAGTTTTGTGTACTTATAAGTCCTGTGACCTGTTGATGCAAAATTAAATGTGTGCATTTGGCAGAACTCTGCTTAACGATGTACCTGCCTTGTTTCTTTAAACTAAAATATGTAATAGAGTTGACTATTTTGAACGTACACACTGATCACTTAATAGGTATGCCTATATTATCTAAAGCAATCTACAAAATGTCTCGTGTTGACTCTTACTATAACTGTTATATTTTACTGTTCTGTAGTACATTCTTATGTAAATGGTGAGGATAAAAACTAAAAAGGTCACAATATTATGGACTACATTACAGTGTTAGACTTGAGTCAACACATCTGTCAATGTAAAATAAAGGTTTGAAACATTAAAACTATCGAAGAGTATAATTTATAGCAGAGGTTAACTTATTTCTGACCAGAGCTACAGGTGTACTGTATACAGTTGTTGCTAGGTTTATAAGGCCATCTAAAAGTCCCTTATTTTCAGAAACATGTCAACTGTAAAATTACTGAAAATAGATAGTTTGGAAGGATGCCAGACTGCTGAGCTCACCCAGTTGGGTTTAAAATGAAGACAATGACACACTACCCATCTTAAAATATTCCTCTAACCTTGAAAGTTGCTGTGGATAATCAAAGGGGATCATTCACTCCACAAGCCAGCAAAAGCAGCAAAAAGACTGGTACTACCCCATGTCTGTGAAGGCCACACACTGAAAGTATTGGTACTTCCATCTTCGTCCTTCAGAACAGACTTCAGTCAGGGTTCAAACGGAGACCTCGACCAGCGGAGCCCAAGGTCCCTAGATATGTGAATCGAATTAGATGTTTTTTTATTTGACAAACTGACCCAATTATTTTACAACTAAGCATCTATTCAAATGAACTTTATTAGAGAACTACCTTCATTTGACATGTTTTTTTCTTTTTCAAACACCTCACAAACAACACAAGAGCTGCTGGGAACTATTGGACACACCACTCCACGCTCACACTATCACTCACGTCCCCCAGAGTCTTCAGCAGATGTCATCCACATCAAGTACTCACTTACAGATCAGTTCAAGAACAGGAAATCACACACCATACAGCATTCAAATCAGATAATATAAGCAATACAAATATTCATCACAACATTCCACTACATTTTGATATTTCTGCACTTGATCAACATACTTAAGAGTAAGGAAAACTTGCAAAGATAGAGAAAAAAAATCTTGAAGTACTACTTAAAGAATGTCCATGTTAGGGGAGATGCTCGTAGCATCCGCAGCTTCCACTCACACATTCAAAAAGCAATCAAATTGGGCTCTTTCACTGCACAACCAGTCCGTTTCACGCGTCTCTCCGTTCGCTCACTCATCGCTTCACTCTTCGTCACAAGCCATCCTCAATCGCACTCATCAGTTCTTAAAATGTCAGTTGCGCAGTTCTCTCCATTTAAAAGTGGATAAAAGTGAAAACACCCACCGTCTCTTAGAACATGCGGAGTGAAGCCGTTCTTTGATGGCATAGCATTTACAGGTGGGAAGAGGGAGAATGATACCGATATCACCCCAAGAATGCTGCCATAGAGGAGCTTCCTCACAGGAAAATGGAAGAGAGGTGAACTGCAGAAGAGATTTCAATGAAGGCTTTTCCACAGAACTTGACTGCAAATAAAGTTGCATTTAAAACATTTAGGTTTCAACCAGATTCTTCCCAATGCAAGATTGCCTTTTAGGTTTGTGACAAAGCCGCATGATGGTGATCCATAAACATTCATGCTTTTTCAAAATGGCTATATCACATCTTTTAGGTTGGTGACAAAGCCGCATGATCGTGATCCATAAACATTCATGCTTTTTCAAAATGGCTATATCACATTTCACAATACATGCATTAGAGAATCCAGTTGAAATGGATACAAACAAATGAGACGTCAAAAATAGCACTTTAGTCAGACATCCTGCTAAACAACTCACTGCAAAACTTTCTAAATTAAATCTTTAGCTTTTTTTCCAAATGTACAAAACAACTTCCACTAAAGTGTTACGTTTGTCAGATACGCAATAACACCAGAAATAAAAATGTGAAAAGACTCATCTGTCACAATACTTACCATACAAACATTTAGCTTACATACCCCACCCAGATGACTTTGACTCCATACTGGACCCAAACCCTGAGCTAAACCCACTACCGCTGGTTGTAGAGTTTGACCCTGTTCCCCAGCCGAGACTGGCCGAGCTGGCGCCATAGTTGCTGTTGGCCGCACTGAAAGACTGACTCTGGTCCCTGCTGGAGCTAGTTCCACTAGAGGTGCTGCCTGGGGTGGATGTCTGTTGCTGGCTAGCTAGCATTCCCATCATCCCCCAACTACTCTGAAGAGCTGCCTGGGCCGCAGCCATCATAGCCGGATTCAGACTGAAGGAACCAAAATTAGACAGACTACTGTTAGTGCTGCCCCCGCTAACCCCACTACGGCTGCTACCAAAAGCCTGAGCGCCGAAACCATTTCCGAACCGTGTCGTGCGATCAAACTGCCTATTGCCGTGTTTGGGCTCAGCATTTGAGATGTGAACACTGACACCTTTAATTATTAGGTCCTCTCCACAGAGAGCCTGGGCAACCTGTGAGGGGAAATAAAGACATGAATCAGGTCATCAGGGCAGTGGTACCACTACAACAAGGAGTTCTTCAAAAAAAGTAACATTGTACCTGATCATCTGCAAATGTGACGAAGGAAAAAGCACGGAATGGCTTTGGGATGAAGACGTCTGTGACTTCGCCATACTGTATAAAGAACTGCCTCAGGTCGTCAGTGGTCATGTCTTCTGTGCAACGGCCTACAAACACCTTCCGGCTCCTCATTGGCTCATCGGGCCCTTGCTGTAAACAAAGGGGTTAAGGTTAGAGTTTTGTCAACATTAACACCGTTTTTATTTACATAATATATGGCTATTACAAGATTCACCTTTGAGTTAGGGAGCTTGCAGTCACACCATCTTCCGTCAATCATATGGCGTTGGGACACAACCTTTTCTTGAACCTCATATTCTGTGAACCTCACAAAGCCAAACCCTTTAGAGTTTCCAGTCTTGGCATCTCGTTTTACCTGTAAGTTAAAAACAAACATTGAGGAATAAAAAACTGTTGTCAATCATACAACCCAGGGCAATGTGTATTTCACTATTGTCACTAATGTTATACCTGAACCATGATGACCTCTCCAAATGTGCCAAAGTAGTCTTTCAGGTCCTGCTCAGATGTTTTCCAAGGAAGGCCCAGTACAATCAGATCCGATGTTTTCATATCCCCTCTCTTCATTTTCACTGCAGATGAGGCGTCAATTTCCTCCATTTTCCTTTTGTTGTCTGAAGTGTGACCAACACAGAGAGAAATGTAATGTAATTTAGCCTGACAGCGACTGGGTGAATCTTTCCCTGCCATCACTGGTTTGAAAATATATGTTTACTATCCTGCTAATATTTAATAAAAAAATTCCAGGGTGAGTAATGTATGACATATATAAAAACAATCGTATGTTATGATTGTGTAAATAATAATAATAAAGATTAAAAAATACTTTATTTATCCCCTAGGGTACATTTAGTTTTCATTCTGTGTTAATCCACTAACAGTTGAAATAAACAGATATACTGTACACCCGGACAGTGAACAATAAATTAAATGAGGCTTCGAAAGCTGCTGGCTTGAACCCCATTAGTACTAACAAATTCCATGTTCTTAGTTTGCATTATTAGATTGTTTTGTGTTAATATGGACGGTTTTTCCTAAGAGGGGGTGCATTTTTCAGATTTACATTTATCCAATGAATCTCCCTAAATCCATATTTGTATGTGTCGTTCAGATCATTTACTTTTAAATGACTAAGCAGTTCTTACGGCCCGTCCACACAGCGGCGTGCGTTGAAGCTTCCAACGCTTCTGCCCATTCAATTTGAATGGGGTGACGTCACTTTTAGCCGAACTGCATTTTGGGAAACGACGATGGAGGCGTCAGCCAATCGAATCATATGCCAGTACAAGCTCTAGCCAATCAAACCGCGTGCTTGTGTGTCTGGGGCGGGAGATTCATGTGATTGGTTGTTGGTCGAGTGTCAGACACGCCCGCCGCTGTGTGGACGGGCCGTTAGAGTAGAGTAACACATTAGCTAAAGATACTACAACGCTTGACTAAATGTATTCCGATATGTTTAAATAAAATAGTAATTGCACATTAGAGGCTGTTGATTTGTGATCTAGGTTTTCCACTTGTATATTAGTTAAATAATTTAGTGTCATTAGAGCGCACTTCGTGGGCGAACAAACTACAGGTCACGTCATTGTCATCTATTTGCAGTGTTCTGAAGCTACATCATGAATTATAAATACCGTTAACAACACCCGTTAGAATTAAGTGTTATGTAAAGATAAATAAATATTAGGTGCCCATATCTACCTTTCGGATAGTTCACCACAAACACGACATTCCCCCATCCGTTTTCTGGTGCGTGTAGGATCCCTTCCACCAGACGCACTCCCCGCATGCACTGAGACACGGGGCTCCTGAAGCGTAGGCCGCAAGCCCCTGGAAACTGAGCCGCCACTGTTGAAAGCAGAACAGTACCGTCGTCCTCGGACGGAATCTCCATTGGCTCCTCATTTTCCTCCTCAGCCACTCGAATGTATACTTCAGCCATTGTGCCAACAACTAAAAAGTTCCGGCTAGAATGAAAACAATGCTAAAGTTAGCAGTTAGCTTACCAGTTGTCCACAATCAAAGCTAACGTTAGCCGATGCTGCTAACAAGACTGAATGATCAACCTAATGGTTTTGTTATTCCGATAAAAAAATATATAAAGTTAAAATCCCATAACAAAAAGGTCGTTATGGTGAGTTTTAGCTGAATTGTTGTATAATAACACTCTCCAAACGCACTAACAAGCGAGCACCAGCCTTTTCCTTTGTTCGTCGCGGGGTTGTGTGTCGTCAACACCGAATGAGCGTTCAACTGTGCCTCGTAATGAAAACTGCGTACGGTCCCTCGTTAACAAACCTAACAACGCGATATCGTCAAAAATAACGTGGGCGGGTTGATAAGGTCATCCAACGTAAGCACGAAGCTCTTCTTGTCTGAAGTAAGAATAACAGAAGAAAATGTATTTCTTTTTCCACGATGCGAAATATTTAAACCACCATGTATGGCCTACCAAAATGGTTTTATTTCAGCGAAAAGGGAACTACGTCATTAGAATGGGCTATTTCACTTCATGGGGGTTTTTGTTTAATGCAGTTTCTTTAATATAAGCAGTAATTAACTCAATGGTCCTTATAAATCAAACCAACACAAATATTACCGTAAAAACAATAGTTATTTCAATAAAATCTAATACAACTCACTAAATTGTATCGTACTCATACATTTGATTTCTCTCTCCCGTTGTGGTTAGGTAGTAAATCCACTAGAGCAGTTTCCGTTAGCTAGTTGTTATTATGTTTGTTGGCAGAGAGAAGAGATGGGAAGATGGCGGTTGCTATGAGTCGTACAAATTTAGAAATGAAGATTACGTGTCAATTACAACATATTTAAACTTAATTACGTTCAAATGAAAAGTTGCACACTTATGTCACCTCAAATCAACAGTAACGTCCGTTTGTATCACGGTGTTATGGTGTCTGTAAATGTCGTTTGCATTGTTCAATTACCTGCGTGTTTCTCTGATCTTAAACGAAAAAATCAACTAATCATAATTATCTTTAAACATTGAGATTTATTGTCGACGCTTTTTTGAGTGATATGTTTGTTCGAACACTATAAAATAATATACAAGTCTGCTCAGTAGTCTATTAGACGAACATGTATTCCAGTCCCACCCAACAACATATTATGTCCTCCAATTCTTTATCTTTACTAAGCAATATATGATCCTGTAAATACATCAGAAACCCTATAATAGAGGGGATATGAAATATTAATTCCACGAGAATACAATGTGCATTTTGATAAACAAATATAGACCGATTTATACCCATGAGTAGTAGGCTATAGTTCCGATTACTCCGAATGAAAGACCTTGTTGTAAATCAAGTAGTTGTCTTTCCTATTAAATGTTGTCTTGTGTTGCTTGTCTCTCACTTTACTCCCTGGAGAATAGTGAAGCTACAGTATCTCTGGACAACTCTTTCTAAAGCACATACATGCAATATCGGAACGACACATCAGTAATAAAATGTGAATACAACAAACATCTAATTTTATATTAAAACACGACAAAGGGATCTCAAACAGCTTTTTATTACATTTTTCAATCAACAGTACAATTTAGTACAGTATCTATCTTGCATCCAGCTCACCGTGTAACACCAACAGACTGAAATGAAATACAAAAAGTGAAAAGGTACATAAGGGTGCAGAGCTCTATAATATTAATGGAAAGAGAAAAGGGAATCCATCTCAGTTGAATTGCATTTTCACTTGTGGCCACACACGAATACATCACATTTATTGTACATCATTGCAGAAAAAAAGAAAAGTGAAAATATGTCACAACTTTAACAAAAGTGCTTCTGTATACAGTGAAATGTTGTCATTCAGATGCTCTGATTTTTCATTTAAGACCAAGAACAAAAATGTACAAAAGTTTTAGTATGGACAGTATGTGAGGAAGCTTTTGTTCCATTGAGTGTGAGGATTTGGAGAGAAAAAGGTTTGTCAAGGATAGAAATCTCACAATGATTGTTATATTTATTACAAAAATTGGCATCAATAGAACTGGTAAGCATAATTTACACTAAGTATGCAGTCAATATTAAGTTTTTCTCCATTCTTGCTTACTCTGGTGCATAGCATTACCAGTATTAGTAAATGATGTATGCAGAATTTGAGCCAAAAATTGGCTTGTGTTAAGTTCAATCAATAGGTTACTCTCATTTTCAGAAAAAAAAAAAAAAAAAATCTAGGATTTTGCACCATTGAAAGCAAGTCTACAGCATGCACATCTAAATTAACTCATGGCAGACAAAATTAAATGTCAACTTAAAACAACAGACCATTATTTTCAGACATTGATTTGTACATTTCATTCACAGAGTTGCAACTGCAGTCCCAAGCAAAGGAAGTGTCTATTTAGTCAGGTGAGGTGTTTCACTCAAAGTGGATACTACACACATCCCCCCATCCATATAATAAAATCCAGCCATGCCCCAATTATCTCAGCACCTACCTTGCTACCCCACCCCTTCCCACCCAAAGTCAAAGGCATGTACAAGAATTAAGGGGGTTAACTGGATAAGTTACTCGTAATAATTCCTTTTGTACTGGAATGAGCATTCATAACTTATAGCATGTGCTTGGTTAGTTAACATAGTATTAGTTTAGAGGCAAAGCTTCTTCATGTGCAAAAGGCTGTGATGAAACAAAAACAGCTAGTATATAAATACATCATGGACATTTTGAAAGCTGCTCGTGTAATATGATCCAAGCTTTACTTGCTGCATGTTTACTCTCTTCTGTCGTATATGATTAAACTGGATTAGAATGACAAGCTGTATTCAAACATATCTAAAACCACTAAAGAAATATGACAAAAGGAAAGCCATCAAGAATAACAAACCATCAGAATAGAATTCTTTAAAAAAAAAAAGTTAAATAATTTGTACAATTACACTCCAACATTTGCTTCCAAGACGCACACATTTGCATGGGATGATAGTGTTGTTTTCTCTTTCAAGGTAACATAAAATGGTCCAAGAAGGAATGCACAAGTTTCTGATTTGATACCACAGGAGATCCTTTGTTAACTAGGTGATAAACAATTGTGCTCTTCTTTGTGTAGGAAAGGCATTGGTTTCCCTTCGTTTTTGTGGTGTCCATGTCCGTTTAAACAGTGTTGAAGAAGATGCTGTGAACATTCTGAAGTTGTAATGGTCTTCCAGTCAACTTTGGAGTTAAAAGAACATCTGGGAACAAAGACAGAGGAATTTTAAAATGTATCTTGTCTGACTTGATCTATATGCCAATTTAAAGTTAAGTGATTTTAGGACCTAACAAGCAAAGGTCTGACAAAAAGCTATGTAATGACACAGACCAGCTTAAACATTAAGGAGGCTGCAACCTGCTGCAGAGCAAGTGTAACATGTTTGGAATTAAAAGGAGGCTGCCAAATGTAGTAAGTATTTTATGAATTTATTAAAAAAGAAAACGTTTGGTGAAAGAATTTGGTGTAAGTAACAACTCTAAAACATAAACATGGTGTTCATACATAATATTCTTTTCCAAGGCTTTAAAAGACAAAAGTTTTTCAACTACAACAAGATGAACATATTTGACCGTGATTTAATTGTAATACACGTTTCAAAATGATGCCGAAGTAACAACATACTGATACCGGTTAGTAAAAACCATGAATTAATGCTTTGACAAGTCCGCAGGCTAAAAACCTTTTTAAATGCGTGTTGTCTGAATGGAAATCGTCTAAGCTAACGCAGTATATGCTCCGACCGTCCACACTCACAACAACGGCCTACACAGACATAAATAAACCAGCGACTGTATTCGCCATGACACCACAGTCTGTGGTTTGTACTTGTTTAACTTTTGTCTAGCTTCTGAACAGATATGAGGAGCTGTGAGCTCTGAGGGCTAACAGCTAACGGCTGATGTTGGTTTTCTGGGGTTTTACTGAAGCTGACGTCACGGCTCCGCCTACACTGCGCTACTATAGTTACTACCCCAGTTCCTAAACTGTAATGGAAATGCGCCATAAAGTGAGCCTGGCCTACCGAGGCCTACCCATACCGAGCGAGGCCGTGTAGTGGAAATGCGCCATAAGTGACTATAGATCCTTTTTGTGGGGCTCCAATTGGACACTTTATAAGATACAGCATGTCTGGTGTGAAATAAATGTAGCTTTTAAAATAAATTATACAGGCAGTTGTAGTTGTTCTGATGCTTATCTAGATTGATTCAAGCTTATATATGCAGTCCAACATAAAACGTAAAGATGTTTCATTGCACTCACGTGGTACTTTTGAGTACAAGAAGATGCTATGCTGCTACAGGCTTTGGACCTTACTAGGAATTAAATAGCTTAGGTACAAATGTAAGAACATGACAAACAATAATGATTTAAAAATATAAACCTTCAGGCTTCAATTCCAGATCTTCAGAAAACTGTCCCAGGATCCTGTCGCGACTGCCATGCCATCATCAGTAACTCCCAGGCAGCTAACGCGGTTGTCGTGTCCAGCCAACACACCTAGAAAAATACAAAAATCGTTATCGAGTCTACAGGACAAAAAAGGCAGGTAAATTAATTTATCCATTATTGACGAACGGATATTCTTGAAACATAATTCTACATAGGGCTTCTATTTGAGCTATGCTTAAGCTACGTACCAGCACGGTCGGCTTTTAGTGTGTCCCACACGTTACAGTTGAAGTCATCATATCCGGCCAGAAGAAGGCGGCCACTCTTGGAGAAAGCAACAGAGGTGATGCCACATATGATATTGTCATGAGAGTAGATCATTAATTCCTGATCAGCACGCAGATCGAACAGCCTGCAGGTGGCATCATCGGAGCCCGTGGCAAAGGCATTGCCATTAGGGAAGAACTAAAAAAGAGAAATTACAAAAAGATAAATCATTAATGCACAATAGAAGAACACAAAACAAAAGTACATCTATATCAAAAGGAACACATCCCAAAATGCTAAATCAAGTACAAGAAAAACTACGTACACAGATGGCGTTGATGTCAGACTCATGGCCGGTGAATGTCTGTCTGCACATGCCCTCTCGAACATCCCAGAGTTTAGCAGAGGCATCACAAGCACCAGAGACGAATAACCGTGTGTCAGGGGCCAACGACAGGCTCATGACATCGCCTGTGTGTCCAGCAAATGTGGTCGTCTGCTGGCCAGTCTCAATGTCCCAAAGTGCACTATAAAACAAAATAACCAAATCAGACACCCATTTTTCCAACATTTAAGATTTGGCCCAAAAATGGTGACTCAGCAACATGGTAAAGCAACTTAAGGAGGGCCATCCTTTTACTCACCAAGTGGTATCCCCAGAGCTTGTAATAATCTGGTTGTCATCAACAAAGCGACAACAGGACAGGTATCCTGATATTCAAAGAATCGATAGAGGAGTTATTGATATGGAATTTCATGTCAGATTCACAGCTAGAAATAGAAAATAAGCAGAGTGTATCATATAC